AAACAAAAAAAATCATACAAATAGAAATAAAAACGTGGCCCCTAAAGGATAGTACAGTAGAGCAAGCTGCAAGGTCAGAGTCATGTGATCTTGTGCCAGTGATGTAAAGCTGTGAGACTTGATTTCTCCATTTGTAAAATATGCATAAAAGCATAAATAACAGTAAAAACTCACACTGTTGTTTTAAGGCCAGACACAGCTAAAGGAAAAGCTTAGCACTGTGCTGAGAGTAGACCAGGAGTTATTTGAAGACCTGTTCTTAAGTTAGCCAGCTTTTACATACAAATTAGATGAGGCCGAGGTTACAGAAACCAAAAAGCAAGGGGAACGTCAAGGCTATGTGACACCATCGGAGCCAGTGAAAGCTTTCGTCATGAAGGCAGCAGCTGAATGTCAGATTCTTCTGAGAGTCCAAGGAGATGGGAAATGTTTCAATATCCAGTGGATTTAGAGAGAGTGACATAGACTGAAGCCATTCAGTACAGCGATGTGGGGAGCAGGACGGTGTGTGTGAAGCACAGAGCATAGAGCCCACCCTGCGCCAACGGCTTCAGTGACAGCAGCTGCTATTACACCTATTGGAGCTGGACGCAGTTTGTATGGGCATGTGCGTGCACGTGCAGGTAGAAGGGGAAATACTCAGCATTAATAAGCTCCGCCGTTCCCAAATAAATGCGATTCCGCTGAGCAAGCTCTGTCCGGGGAGCGTTTGCTTAAGCCAGAGAGCAGTTTCTAAAAGCAACATTTCAAAGGGGAAGGTGGCAGGTAGGTCATGCAAATTTAAAAAGAGTCCTGTTTAGGTGGGCAGTGAGAAATGATAGCTCTGGGACACACAAGGAACCTTCAGTCCTCACAGCAGGCCTGAGACTCAATTGAAATTCCTTGCCCAGCACTCCCCATTTCTCCCACGCCAGCAAAGTGAACAGCCATCTGATCTCGGCTGGGCCACGGGACAGAGCTATCTTTGCCTCTTGCCAGCTGAGAAATGGTTTGTTTCCCTTTCCTTGCAGCTTTCCTTGGCCCTTCAGTATTTCCTAGCTCAGTCCCATGCCAGTGCTCCCTCCTGGGGGGCACAGAGTGGCAGATTCCGGGGGGATTGTAATGTAGAGCAGCAGGTTGATTCCCACCAGGGCTTCCGCAGACCCACTGCTGGAGTCAATGACCTTATTGAAATGGCTTCTGGCCTGTAAAAGCATTTTCCTAACCCTGAAAGCTTTTAGATGCACCACCAGATTCTTAACTTTTCTTGGAGAATTGTCATGTCATGAACTCAGTGGGGGAAGGAAAGAACTGCTTGATGAAACTGACATTTTCAAGCCGGGAATGTGAAGAGTGTGTTAGGGTCTATGCGGGCCTCATCATTCTCCTTGCTTAGGTGTGCCTCTCTTCAGATCAGTAGGTGCCATTCCTTTTCCTGGGCCAATGACATCATTCCCCTTTAAGACCTCGCCCGAAGGCCAGCCCTTTGGGAAGCCCTCCAAGATAACTGTAGCCCAAATGACACTCCCCCTTTCTTTGATTATCTGCTGCAGTTATTATCTGTAATAGCCCATTTGGCACTCTTGTTCCCACAACAAAATCTGTGCTCCCCGTTGTGTGTGGCATTGTGCCGGCAACATAGAAATCCTCCATCCGCAATCTTCAGGTTCCACTCGGTACTTAAGGGGAAAAGCAGTCATTGTTTTAATTCATTAATAAATTAACTTTCATTGCAAAATCTGCAGGGATTTCTGTCTTCCAGCCTTACATTTTCTTCCCATTTCGCCTTTAATGCAGTAAGCACCACCACCTCCCACTGTGCGTTTAATTACTGTACTGATTGCTTACTTTGTAGGCTACATGATGTGGAAAAAATACAAAACTTAAAAGCAAGGCACTCTCCCTGACCTCCCTAGGGGTAGAGACTGAAGCCCATAAAAATATAAGAAAACACATTTAACTCTACAGATAACTAGTGCCAGACGAGTGGTCTGGATAATTGCGCAACCCCTGCGGCCCCAAGTGCAAGCCCTATCCCCCTTGCCAGCAATGGACTTCCTTGACCTGAGACTTGGACCTTCGGTCATGTGCTCAGAAGAGCCTTCCTTAGCACCATCTTTGTTCATTTTAAGCCTAACATTCCTTTATCTTTCAGGCCTCTCTTTTAGAAAATCTCTATACATGTATTTTTTTTCTCTTCCCCTCCATCCTGGTGAGTTTTCTTTACCTTGCCCAATGTCTGTAATTTTAGGTGAGTAGTGCTATACGGGTACCATATGGTCAAATGCTCAGGTGAATTCAAAGATTTCAAATATATTGATAATTGCAGTTTGTTTACCTACTAGAGACCAGTGCATAAAATTGGTGCACTCGGGGGGTCCCTCAGACCGGCCTGCGCCCTCTCACAGTCCAGGAGCCCTTGGGGGAGGTCTGACTGCCGGCTTAGGCCCGCTCTTCCCCAGAGAGCGGGCCTAAGCCGGCAGTCAGACATCCTTAGTTCTGCAGCAGAGGCGGGAGAGGCTCCTGCCATCACAGCTGCGCTTGCCAGTGGTGAGCCCAGCTTCTGACTAAGCGGTGCTCCCCTGTGACAGTGCACTGACCACCAGGGGGCAGCTCCTGTGTTGAGCGTCTGCCCCCTGGTGGTCGGTGTGCGTCATAGCAACCGGTCATTCCGCCGTTCATATTTGCATATTAGCCTTTTATTATATAGGATAGAAAGATTAAGCCCAGCATCCCATTACTTTTTATTATATTCAGTTACTCAACTAATGTAATTTTCTTTTAATTCAGTCAAGTTATTGTGAAGGATAAGCAGGTGCATTTTAATTTAATTTTGAGGTTCTGTGAGCAGTGGAAATAGGAAACCTGAGTATGTTAAGCCTGACAATCTCTATTCTCTCCCAACTTGGGTGTTTGCGGAGGCATTTACCTGGGTCTCTGAACCTCTGATAGAGGATGACATGAAGGGGAAAGCAGTTGGTAGACTGGGGAGGTAACCACTGGAGACAGTAGTAGTCAGATGAAACTAATTGATTGTAATTGCTTTGCCATCGTATTGCTCTTGGAGCCTGTAGCTTGTTAAAGCCACTGATTATGAAAGAAGGATCTCACTTTTTATGCTGCAGGTCATGCTAGTGAAGAGCCGTTCTTAGAGAAATGATCAGTGGATATCAATAAATGGATAATAGAAATTAAAGGAAACTTAATTAACTTGATCATGAGTTACTATACTTCAGCAGTCACAGTAGCAGTCAACTGTGTGGTGTTCCCTACTGCATCTTTTGCTTGGAGCTCTTGAATTTTAAGTATTTCCCATGGAAAGAGAGATTGAGCCTGTGAAGCTATTTATCACATACTGTCTTAAATAACAAATCATCCTGTAGATTTATCTTGGAAAACAGAAGATATGTCTGTTTTACAGAGCCTTTATTTTGTGACAAAGTACTAATGGGCAGGTATTTTGAAATGGAAAAAATAAGTCCCCATTGTATCACCAAGAAAGGATATTAGAAGTGGGTTCTTCAATGCTCATGGAATATGAGTAGTATATGAGTGAGCATCTGTCTGAATCTGAAGATAATATTTATTTTTCAATATTCATCAATGTTAAAATGAGTATACTAAAATGATAACATTAATGTGAAGTTATATCTAACATTTTGTTGTAGGATGCGCATTAATGTTCATATGATTGTAACTATCATATCTTTCATCCTGGCATTTAAACTGTTGGTGATGTTAGAGTGATCACATTTACTGAAAACGTTTTTACTGAGCACCAGTTCTGATTAAGGCTCAGGCTCAGTCTGGCCTCAAGGAACTCACAGACTAAAGGAACAAACGTGAACAAATCGTTGCTTGTAGCATTAAGCACAGTGATGCCAGCGATAAAAAGTGCTAGAGGGATGCAAGGGGAAAATAACGCGCGCTCTGAACGATTTCTCGGTGTCTTCCAGCAAAGCTAAAGATGGTCTAGATTGGAGCAGTGTGATAGTTCCTGGTATTTGGGGAAATGAAATAACAGAAATTAGGGGGTGTGTTTTAGGGTGCAAGAAGATAAGATTAGACAGGCAAAATTCCACATGGCCTATGTCTTTCTTTGCCCCCCTATGGGATTTTGAGTTATTCCTATGGGAATGGGGCTCCCAGAGGAGTTTTAGATGTTGAAGGACAGGAGTGAATCTCCTTTTAGGAAGATCACTGCCCCCTCAGTGTGGATGATGGCCAGGAATGGCTCATTGCAACCTCCGGGTAGTAAGCAGGTACAATTGCCTGTGCTGGTGAATATTAGTGTTAACGTAGGTCTGTGAAAAGGAAATTAAAAGAGCTCAAAAGCGAATCATTTTCATCTTTGACTTTTAAAATATATTGTTCTGAATGTGAGATTAGTGCTAATACACTTGTTGCTGAAAACGTGAAACTAGAATGTCTACACGTGATAACAGAGTCTGTGTCTAGCAGACAGCACATACTTATGGCTAGTTTTGTGTTTAGGAAGTAGATGTAGATGTGTTGCTTAGTTGAAAAAAATGTAAGTAATTATGATTTTAAAATACATGTTTAAGATAATGCTTAAAAAATGGCAATAATTTGGTTCTGTTAAATAATCACCAGAAAAAAATTTCACATTAAAGATTCTGTTTCAGAATTTGGAACATTTGCATTTTAATTACATAACAAAAGGATAAAGTGAAGGGATAATTGGCTTGGCTATTAGCCAATTACAGCTATAACTGAAAAACAAAAATAAACAATCCAAAAACCTCACAGAAACTGACAATGGTTTCCACAAACAGTCACAATAGACACTGATCAGATGTTTGATGACATTTGGCAACACTAAATGGACGGGGACATTGTTTCAGTCCCGCACACAATGTGTTTGTTAAAACTGAAATTAATGAGAGCAGATTGGAGGAGTTTGAAGGGTCGTTCGGTTTTCACAGCGAATGCATCCTCAGATAAGGCTTGTCTCCAGTGATGCCAGTTGTTAAAACCTCATGGAGAAATAAGACAATCCAATGCAGTTTGTCCAGGCTGCTATAACAGTACCAAAGACTGGGCTACTTATAAGGAACAGCAGAAACTTGTTTCTCATAGTCCTGGAGGCTGGGAAGTCCGAGGTCAAGGTGCCTGCAGATTCAGTGTCCGGTGAGGTCTTCCTGTTCATAGAAGGCCGTCTTCTCACTGTGTCTTCACATGACCCAATGGGCAAAGCAGGTCTTGGATTAGTCATGGCCTAATCTCTGCCAAAGGCCCTTGCTTCCTAATACCATTACCTTGGGGATTAGGTTTCACTGTATGAGTTTGGAGGAGGTCACATCCAATTGCATTTTTTTCATTACAGGGGAGGTTTCATCCAGTCCGTCTAGCGTTCCCATAGTCAGTGCCAGGAGAGGGCCTCTGTGCGGAGATGCAGGGCAGTGACAGGAGCCGGGGGTGTCAGAACGCACCACTGACCGCACCGATCTGTGTGCTTCCCTTACAGACACCACCACATATGCCACCGAGCGGTCCGAGCACTTCAAGCCCTGCCGAGACAAGGACCTGGCCTACTGTCTCAACGACGGCGAGTGCTTCGTGATCGAAACCCTGACCGGATCCCACAAACACTGTCGGTAAGCCATTGCGGCCCCTGGCCCGAGTCAGGCCCTCAGAGAGGCCTGGCGGGGAGGGGAGGTGCAGCCCCTTGAATATACAAGGAGATGCCTACAGTCCGGCTGTTTGAATGGTGGAATCAAGAGTCTTAATGGGAGAAGGGAGAAGGCTGGTATCTTTTGTATTTGAGAAAGATAAAACTGAATGAAAGTAGACAAGATCTGAATTTTACCTGATTAAGTAAAGGGCGATTTGTTTTAAGGACTACCAACCTGATGGGAATAATGGTTCACTCCCTTTAGCAGCCTGTGTTTTTGGTGTGGGTCTTAGGCACATGTGTTCCCACTTGAAGGAATCCCTTCTTGGAAACCTTTAGACCAGTGGTTCTCAACCTTCTGGCCCTTTAAATACAGTTCCTTATGTTGTGACCCAACCATAAAATTATTTTCATTGCTACTTCATAACTGCAATGTTGCTACTGTTATGAATTGTAATGTAAATATCTGATATGCAGGATGGTCTTAGGCGACCCCTGTGAAAGGAACGTTCGACCACCGAAGGGGTCGCGACCCACAGGTTGAGAACCACTGCTATAGAGTGTGGCACGACAGAGAGAACTGCAAATCTGAGACCTGGCGTCTCAATGTCTGCTGTGCGCCAAACCCCAGAGACTGTCACTGTGTCCAGTCCAGGCAAACGGCGTCTTCCTTTGCTTCTGCCCCGTTTATTCATTTCGGTACATTTCCGACACCTCTGATGATGAAACGCCCTCCAGCAGGCGCTTGCAAATGGAATCGCCCTTCTGTTGTGGCCTGGGTAGAGAACTACTTAGGGAAAACTCTCAGTAGAGATCAGGAAGGTGTTTAATTGGTTTTGAGAGACATGAGGTTATGTAACTGCTAAAAATAAAAACATGTGGAGATAAACAGTGCACCTGCGGACCCTGCTGCTTTAAGGCTCCGTAGAAGAATCAAATTAGCATCTGAAAATATTTCCCCGCGAGCTTTACTTCCAGCCCTCTCCCTGCAATTTGTTTTCCTTGCAGCTGTTTATGCTTCAATGATCATATATATCCACACCCCTCTCCTCTTTCTTTACTCTTCTCACATGACACAGTTATTAAATTAATTATTCTGAGTCATGAAGCATGGAAAATTATGACTTTGCTCTCTCTGTTGCTATTATAAAACTTGACTGTTATTAAGATGACACAGAAATGCATGGTAGAGTTGCGAACTGAGAACGTGTCAGTGACACTTGCCTGGCGCCCTGGGCCAGCCTCGCTCCAGGGCGATGAGCTGCCACAGTGTGCCGGGTCCCAGGTTTGGAAGAGCTGAGAGGTGATAGTGGCAGGTCTCTGTAAACGCTACTGCGCATCGCATGTCAGGTTAACAACTGTGACCTTCTCACCTCGCCATGGAGGTTTTCCTGTGCCTTGGGCAGTGCCATTACATGTACCCTGTTCATAAAATGTATATCCTTTTCCTGTTCTCTGTGACCCTGGGTTGGGGGTGAAGGGATTGGGAATGGCTCCTCCTTGCATTCCTCTCCTATTGTTACATTTGTTAGGTCGGCACGGACACAGATAGGAGACGCACGGGTGACTTGGAGACCTCAGGGGCAAAGCCAAGAATGAGCTACCCTTTGAAAGCATGGCAAGCTTGCACACTCTTACAGATATGCAAGCACATGTTATAGCTACCTTGGCCAATCTCAGGGCGCACGGTGTGGAAGTGGGCAGTGAAATCAGTTGAGTTTCAATTCCTAATGGGTTAGTGATGGGGTGGGTAAGTCAGAGGTCTCACCTGGAGCAGTGACTTTTCTGATGGTGTTTGACCCCGAGGATAGTATGCTGGCTGGTATGACTCAATTTTTTCTAAAGATGAGAGGTTGAAAGATGTCTTATTCTCTCTCAACATTCTTCCTCATTATATTGTCTATTAGTTCATGGACATAATTTGCTAGGCTTTTGTAACAAAGCACCACAGATCGGGTGGCTTAATAGCCAGGATCTATTTTCTCACAGTCCGGAAGTCAGAAGCCTGAGGTCAGGGTGCTGGTGGTGATTCCTTCTGAGGCCGTGGAAGAGGGGCGCCCTTCCCGCTCTCTTTTTGGCTTATAGGAGGCTGACTGTTTCCTGTGCCCTCTCTTTGTCTTCAGTCTGTGCATGTCTGCATCCAGATTTGCTCTTCTTATAAGGATACCGGTCATACTGGATCTGGGTCCACTCCCTATTTTAACTTAGTGACCCTATTTTAACTTTACCTCTATAAAAACCCTTTCTCCAGATATGGTCACAGTCTAAGTTTGGGGTTTATGACTTCAACATACGGATGAATCGGGAGGCCCCGCCCACTCTCTGACAGTGGACCTCAGGTCCAGATAAGAGAGCTTTTGCTTTTGTAGATGTGCATGAGTCTAATTGTTTAAACGCAAGCAAGAGATACAGCCATGGCTTAGCTGGAACAATGTCCATGTAAAATCTGTTCAATCATTTTGCATATTTCATCACATTCGACCTGTTGTTTAACATAGTCACAACATAGCTAATCATGACAAAAGACCAGCCTAAAACTGAGTCGGAACTCGAGTAGCTTAATAGCGACCTATAAATCTCCTACTTGTGCATATGAATAAATCACACATCGCATGTGCCCGCTATTCATCTCCCAGACTTTGCTGTTGAATAAAGACTTACATTTCTTCCTACATCAGCCACTTCTAGGACTTCCAATGTAGTCATTAATAATGTGCCATTTTGCACAGCACTCTATTTAAGTGGCGTGTTTCATTCTTTCTTCTCCATTTGACAAATGTTTATTGAGCACTTCCTATCACCAAGATACTGTTGAATAAATACATACAGAAATGAACTTAGGAATTAAATGGCACTATATTTTGTAATGTGCTGGGAGCAAGTGAAATTCTTCATCGTTAGGAAATAAAGAAAACCAGAGAAAGTGTTCCGCATGACTGGCATGCTACTGGGATATCTTTATGATACATGACTAACTGGATTATGTTTCCAGTGAAATTAAACATGAGGTAATATATCAGAGCAACAATGGAAAAGGGTGTGAGTGAATCTAGCTCATTAACTTGTTTACTTTTCCCATGTCTCAAAAGATTAGACATTCACATCTGAGAGAAATTGATTATGTTTTCTAGTATTTTAAGAATAAATCACAGTTCTACGATAAACTGAATCAAACATTTTTTTCTACATAATAATTTTGACCATACTTTAACACTTTTCTGTTTACCAGCCAAGGAAGAATCGTAGCAAAACTAGCAGGGTCATCCCTGATAGAGATTTTGAAAGGAACGCACAAAAATGTTAACAGTGCCAGCCTTGGATAAGGGAGGTTTCATGTGTTTCTATTTGTTATTTTCTCTCGTTAGTGTATTTTCAGATCTTTTCAAAATCCATTTATAGTATGAATAATTAGAAATTATAGAGCAAACCAATGAACATTTCAGAGGAATGCAAAGATTCTAAAACACTGGACAGAGGGATTTTAAAGAATAATAAGTAAATAGGAAAACTTGATCTCGCTGAATTTAAAATATAGTATGAAGTCATAGACCATTGGCTGACTGATTAATAAAAAGAGAACATGGCATATAGTGAAACTTCATATAGAATAAGGGGACATTCATAAATCGGAGGAAAACTGAGACAGTGGCCATGGGGCAAATTTGGTCGACTATCAGTTACAGCCAATCAAAATAGGATTTTTACTTCTTTCTCTGTACCAAAAGTTGTTCTTAATGAATTCATAAGTTTATATAATTAATAAATAAATAAAGTCTTAATGGAAACGGAAACAAATTGCATATTTATTTATGCCAGCAATTGTAAGGGCTTCTTGAACTATAAATGAACAGCATTGTCACAACCTTGACACGTTGTTTTTGACATGAATATTGTAAATCAGAAATGAAATTAAAAGACAGATACATGGTCAGTAAACTGTACAACAAATATGGCAGGTAATTATTTTGAAAAGTCACATAGATGAATAACAGTGACACTAAGTTTTATCCTCAACAACAGGAAAATGGACAAAGAGAACAACATACTCTTCCCTTAAAAAGGAATACAAATAACCAATAAACATGAAAAATACTCAGCCTCACAAAGACATGCAAATTAATCCTTTTGTTTGGCTAGCATACATTTAATTATTTGAAAAAGCAAATACTCTGGTGAGAGTTCAGTAGAAACATAGTCACTATGTGAAGAAGTGCATATTGTTAAATACCCTCTGCAGATAATGTTTCAAAATCTTTATGGCATTTCTAAGAATTTCGCCTGGAAGACTCATATATAGATTTATTTGTAAGGATGTTCAACACAGGTTTATTTGTAATAGAAAAAGAAAATCCTGAATTTAGATGTTTGGACAATTTAAACTGTTTTAAGGACATGGAAATGTTTATTATTTCACATTATGGATGCAAATCAGGTTATTAAATTGCAAAGTTGAACACATAATAATTGACCAAATTATGAAAAATAGGTAAATGAAAATGCTATTAGGTTCACAGCTATATTCTTCTTTGATTTTTATGAATTTTGTAAGATCTCTACCTGGCACATATATTTCATTTATGTAATTCCTGGTTAAGAAGGTTGGCCCCTGCTTCTCACCTATCCATTAAGAAAGATAGATAGTGTCCCTTTCTCTGTTAAATTGAGGTCATTATAATTCACTTTTTTTAAGCTAGGAGAACTTTCCATTAAGCCCTTTCAGATATAACGCAGCCTAGTATATTCGAGTGTGTCTGTCTCTTCTTTTAATTATCCATTTGTACTCTTTATATGTTCATAAGTTTTATAATATTTTTTTCAATACTAAATTCACTTGTTTTGAAATATAAAAATAGGAAGATACATCCTTCATAAATGAAGCTGGATAAAGAAAGAAAGCAATTCCCTAGAAACTCCTCGAATCAAAATATTCTGAATCAAAGCAGGATGCTCTCTAACATATTTATTTATGCTGTTTTAAGAAAT